CGATTTCCAGTAACATATATTTCTCTCAAATATTCAATTTACATCAAATTATATATTTTTGGGTTACATATTTAGTTTAGCAACATTATTACGATAATAAGAGCTATAAAAATACTTACTTTGGAACTGATTTATTAATTTTATTATTTCGAAGCCGTAGATCGCTGAACTGTGGCGACGAAATCGAACACAACAAGCATGGTGTTGTATGGACAGGGATTAGACCTGTCCACTCGTGCTGTTGTTGTGCTGCCAATAACGTGAATAATTTCTCAAATAGGAGATATCTATCTTATTACAGTATATTTTTGGTTTTATTTAGTTTAGTTTAATTAGGATAATAAAGAGTTATTAAAACACCAGTTTTAGAAATGATTTATTAATTTGAAATGTTCAAAGCCATGGGTCACTGAACTATGACAACACAGACGAAAGTGAGTGAAACCTCACTGTAAAGTGAGATTTACTGTACAGTATACCCTTATCTGTCCACCCTCACTCGTCTTGTTTCATCACAGAAAATGTATATAAGAAGATTTCAACATATTAGCTAGCTATTCACGCTTCAGCCTTTAAATTAATTTACGAAGATACGTGTGCCACAAATCGGTGAACGAAAATCATTGAAACTCAGTCGTTCACTTGTGTGGACGACTCTGGATGGTGTTTGGTTAATATGCGTCACTTCTTGTGGACCATTCTGGCTGGTGTTTGGTTCATATGATTCACTTGTTGTGTGGTCCACTTGTGTGATCCATCTTGTCTTATGAACAGTCTACTTACAGTCTCCGTGGTGTAGTGGTAAGACACTCGCCTGGCGTTCCGCGAGCGCTATGTCATGGGTTCGTATCCTGGCCGGGGAGGATTTACTGGGCGCAATTCCTTAACTGTAGCCTCTGTTTAACGCAACAGTAAAATGTGTACTTGGATGAAAAAACGATTCTTCGCGGCAGGGGTCGTATTCCAGGGACCATAGGATTAAGGACTTCGCCCGAAACGCTATGCGTACTAGTGGCTGTACAAGAATGTAACAACTCTTGTATATATCTCAAAAAAAAAGAAAAAAAAGAAGGAATTATTAATTGTAATCTGTGATAGAATGAAACAGTTTTCCACCACTCTGTGAACTCTGTCCCAACATCATAAGCTTGTGGACCACTTGTGGTCCACTTGTGTGGTCCACTATTGTGGTCCACTTGTGTGGTCCACTTGTGTGATCCAACTTGTCATATGAAGGAATTATTAATTGTAATCTGTGATGGTATGGTAAAGTTTTCTACCACTGTGAACTCTGTCCCAAAATCGTAAGCTTGTGGACCACTTGTGGACCACATGTGCGGTCCAGTTGTGTGGTCCACTTGTGTGATCGAACTTGTCATATGAAGGAATTAATAATTGTAATCTGTGATAGAATGTGAAAGTTTTCCACCAGTCTGTGAACTCTGTCTCGACGTCGTAAGCAAATCCGAACATCCCCCGCTTCGGCGAACCATTGTTCGTCGAACCGGGTGAGTAAATCCGGCCTGAAAAGTGTGCGAACTAGCCAAAGATTCGTTGAATCGGGGTACGTTGAATCGAGGTTGTACTGTATATATATATATATATATATATATATATATATATATATATATATATATATATATATATATATATATATATATATATATGTCGTACCTAGTAGCCAGAACGCACTTCTCAGCCTACTATGCAAGGCCCGATTTGCCTAATAAGCCAAGTTTTCATGAATTAGTTGTTTTTCGACTACCTAACCTAACTTTTTTGGTTACCTAACCTAACCTAACCTATAAAGATAGGTTAGGTTAGGTTAGGTAGGGTTGGTTAGGTTCGGTCATATATCTACATTAATTTTAACTCCAATAAAAAAAATTGACCTCATACATAATGAAATGGGTAGCTTTATCATTTCATAAGAAAAAAATTAGAGAAAATATATTAATTCAGGAAAACTTGGCTTATTAGGCAAATCGGGCCTTGCATATTAGGCCGAGAAGTGCATTCTGGCTACTAGGTACGACATATATATATATATATATATATATATATATATATATATATATATATATATATATATATATATATATATATCGTAAAGTCTCCCCCCCCCCCTCCCCCAAGACCCTTCTGGGAAATGGCTCAATAGACTGCCAGCCAGCCAGAGACAGCCTGGAGAATCTCCATCTAATAAAGCATTCATGAAACAAGTATATTATAACTTTATTATCCTAATAATATTACTAAATAAAATCTGCAAGCAAAAATATATATGATGTACATTCAGAATTTTATTATGAAACATCTGGTTAAGTGGGTCAAGTGTTAGGCTTATCTCTTCCCTTCCCCACCACCGACACACACACCCCCACCCGCCCCCTCCCCATACTTCCCATACACACGCTGTCTCTGCTTCACCTCAACATCCATTGCTCCATCCCTCCCTCTGTTCTTCCCTCCCTCCATCCAGGAGCCACTGGAAAAGATATGGAGGTAGAACAGGCCAAAACACCCAAACCTCTAGAGCCTCAACATAAGAGAGAGAGGAAAGCCCCAATCTTTCAATGGGACTTTCAGCAAAAGGCTGCAATACTTACAATACCTTATGACCAGCACAAGGTCATAAGGATAAGACATCAGATAAGACACCACCATAGTGGACATCACCTCAAAAAAGAAACCATATTATATAATACATTTTTATTTCTCCTTTTTTTTAAGTACAGTACCAGTATTTTTGGATTATGGGGGAAAAACAACCACTGAATCCGAAAGGCAGCGTGATAGAGGCAGTAGGAATAAACTTCAGTATCCAAGCACTCCAATTCACCCTGAATGGCTACTAGCAGCAAAGTCTGGCTGAAGGGTGGGTGAGGGATTTATTGAATCGTCATCAGTCCAAGGAAAGAAGCAAAGAAATTTGGATGACCTCACCCAAATGCGAGTATAAGTATGACGGATTAGCGTGTTTACAGGTTACAGTTGTGTGTGTAAACTAAAGTCTTTGAAAATGTAATAAGTTATTACGAAACGCGTTCAAGTGTCGCGTCAGACTAGAAATAAAACTGAATTTTGGAGAATTGATTTTTCAATTACTATCGATAGTAAAAAGAAACATAAGAAATATTATATAAAATATATATATAAGAAATAAGATATATATAAGAAACATATATATAAGATATATATATATATATATATATATATATAAAGAAATATATATATATATATATATATATATATATATATATATATATATATATATATATATATATATATATATATTATATATATATTATATATGCGAACAAGCCTGAATGGTCCCCAGGACAATATGCAACTGAAAACTCACACCCCAGAAGTGACTCGAACCCATACTCGAACCCATTGATTAAGGCGTCTTGTACATACCAGTTGCGTTGCTCTTGGGAGTATGGGTTCGAGTCACTTCTGGGGTGTGAGTTTTCAGTTGCATATTGTCCTGGGGACCATTCAGGCTTGTTCGCATTTGTGTTCCTCACGTGTGCCCCAAAGAATGAGGTGATTTGGTAAAATGCTATGCCCAAGATTACTATCCGAGTGCCGGCGGTGGGGTGGTTCAAATAGCCTCGGCTATCACCTCATTATGTCCGGTCGTGATGGTCAAGTGGATTAAGGCGTCTTGTACATACCAGTTGCGTTGCTCCTGGGAGTATGGGTTTGAGTCACTTCTGGGGTGTGAGTTTTCAGTTATATATTATATATATATATATATATATATATATATATATATATATATATATATATATAAATACTTGTTTCATGAATGCTTTATTAGATGGAGATTCTCCAGGCTGTCTCTGGCTGGCTGGCAGTCTACTGAGCCATTTCCCAGAAGGGTCTTGGGGGAGGGGGGGGGAGAAAGAGAGTGAGTGTCGGGGTAGAGGTTCAGTGAGGGTGAGGGAGGGGATGAAAGGGGTAGGTGGCCTGCTTGCCATGTGAGGACCCTCTGATGCCAAGACAAACCTAATACCGACCTTCGGTAATATTGACTGCCAGACCGTTATATGAGACTCTAAATACCGGTCTCTCAAACCAGTCGTTATTACCGGCAGATCAGTATAAAAGAGGCTGTTAAATTGAGTGGATACTGTCCTGGGCTGACATTCGGGCATGGGGATTTTGGCGGTCGAGCAGGGTCCTGGCTGCTCATTACCTTGTAAACGTTCCTGGGCCCGGTCGGGCCTGTGTCGCTTTGGGTCGGTGGATGCAGCCAGCTGTCTCGACTTTGGGTTGAGGAGTGAGCAGCAACCACCTCCCGGGTAAGTCCCTATTCTTTCCTCTGTGGGTAGTTAGCTCCGAAGAGCCGTAGGGGCTTCCCCCAGAAAACCAGCATTGAATGTAATGAAACACCATTTTCTGGGTGAGTCTCGGAGGCTCCCCGGCATCTCTCCCTACCTCCGGTCGGCTTTTTTTTGTGTGTGTTTTTGACATCCAGCCTCAGAACTGGGGTGTGGATCGCTGGCGCGGTAAGTCTGGAGCTGCCCCTTCCCCCTCCCGGGGAGGGGGGGCTACGCAGACAGCGGCGCGACGATGAATGACATCATACTAATTTGCTCATTTTTGTTTGGGGAGTTCTATCCACTCGTTCGGCTTTTGGTTGCAATTTTCACCAGAATAGGGGTTTCTTTTGGGATGCCTACCTTTCTGGGTGCCTAACCCGGTCGATGGCAGACATAGAATGCTTCCAATTACACGGGGGTTTCTATAGGCCATTGATCCCCATGCCGCTTTAGAGGAGGCCAGGTTCTGGCTCGTGGTCCCCGGTAGGCTCATAAGAAATCCACACACATGACTGATGCCAAAGTCTGACATTAGCATATCAGCCTAGTAAGCTCCAGGGAGCCTCCGGGACTCACCCAGAAAATGGCGTTTCATTACATTCAACGCTGGTTTTTTGTTTTAATTTTCTAGACTATGACATGTTATAATTAATATAATATTTTCAGATTGATCATGTCAGACGACAGCTGGTTAAACACACTACGATGGGGTCTGAGCGGGACATCGGCCCTGGCCATGATGTTTGGGGGTGTAGTTCCATACATTCCGCAGTATCTGGAGATCAAACGGACAGAGAACCCCGAGGGATTCTCTCTTTATGTGTGCCTTGTACTATTAATTGCCAACACATTAAGAATATTGTTTTGGTAAGTGTATTTAAAAATTATCTAGTTTACGTTTTTTATAAACTGGGAAACTCTACAGTATAGCATAATATCTCAATATAATTTTTGTTATTTGCTTATTAATTGCTTTCTGGGGGGAGCCCCTTCAGCTCCCCTGAGCTATCCAGGCTGATATGAATGTATTAGAACCTGGCAGTAGGCAAAGCGAATGGAGTTCTAGGCCTACTGGGAAATACGAGCCAGAACCTGGCCCCCTCAGAGAAGCACAAGGAGCAATGGCTTATAGAAACCCCCGTGTGGTTGGAAGCATTCTATGTCTGCCATCGACCAGGTCAGGCACCTAGAAAGGTTGGCATCCCAAAACAAACCCAATCTGGTTAAAAAATTGCTACCGTAAGCCGAACTATCGGACAGAACTCCTCAAATAAAAAAAACGAGCAAATAAGCATGACGTCACAACTGTCATCATGTTGCCGTCTGCACAGCTCCCCCCTCCCGGCACCCTGTGCTGGCTATCCACCCTTCAGTTCTTAGCTGATGTGAGACCTTGGCGGTCGCACGACTCTGGCTCCAGTAATTTGATCAGTACTCGGGGTGCATGCACCTAGAGTTATCTTCCCTAGATTCTCTGTAAGTACTGCCCTTGTGGCTTGGGGTTATCTTCCACAAGTTACTCGGGATCTACCTCCGCCGTGGTCTTTGTTGATTGGTGATTGCCTGCCCTTGGAGTCAGCTGGGGTGTTTCATGCACCCATGTTTGCATCTTAGTAAGAGGTAGTTTCGTCACTGATAGAGGCATGAGGTACTGTGCAGCTAGTTTTCACCTTATAACAGCAGCCAGCTCTGTTCTGCCTGTGACATTGTACTCGTGCTGGATTTTTCTTTTATTTTTGTTTTCTACCTGGTGGAGGGTCTGCCCTTGGTGTGTTGATCCCTATATTGTTGTATTCTTGGTGGTCCTCCGCTAGGTCCCCGTGTGTGTAGATGTCACTGGGATTCAGCTTTAGCAGTTTGCATGGTAGTTTTTGGGCGTCAGTTAGCAGTACCCCTCCTGGGCTTCCCTTAGCAGACCGTCTAAGAGCCCCTTAAAACCCTACTGGAGCTCAGTGGTCCAATGAATGCATCCTCTGGGTCACATCTTGCTTCGTGCGAGTTTGAGGGTTGCTCTGTCCCCTTGTCTCAGGGTGACGCTCACCTGTTCTGCCTCCGTCAAGTTGCTTGTTGGGTCAGTGACACCTTTGACACAGAGTCTTGCAAGTGGTGTTCCTTGCATGTATTCCGCTTCACCCAGTCTACTGATCATATTTAGGTGCTGGCAGCTTCGGAATTGCATGTGCGTCATAGGCTGCTGCAGGGCGCTAGGTTGGTTGCCCACCCGAATGCCCTGAGGCTTCCCTGTTTTAGTTATAGTGACTCCGGACTTGGGGGTGTTAGTTGCCTCGACTTTGGTTCCATGCACTTCCCATTGTCCTTTCCCTGCTGTTGTTCGCGCTGTCCCCCCCATTCCCAACCCCGCTTCCGACTCCGAAGCATCTAAGGGGTTCGGAGTCGAGGTCAGGGTTTAGCTGGTGGTGAAATTCGGGCAGTGTTGGGGGGATGCCCCATCCGGTGTTATCTTGAGATAATTTCGGGGCTTAGTGTCCCCACGGCCCAGTCCTCGACCAGGCCTCCTTTTTGTTACACATCCCCAGGAAGCAGCCCGTAGCAACTGTCTTAACTCCGAGGCACCTATTTACTGCTAGGTAACAGGGGCATCATGGTGAAAGAAACTCTGCCCATTTCATTTGTTTCTGCCTCCACCGGGGATCAAATCCGGAACCTCAGGACTACAAATCCGAAGCACTGTCCACTCATCCAGTGTGATGACGGAGGCGTTCGAGCCAGTTCCTCCAGCCGGTGCTTCTGGATCTGACCAGTGGGCCCCCTTCGTTCCAGCTTTTCCGGCGGCTTCTGCCTTTTCTTTTAAAGTGGAGGGTTTGAAAGACGGCTCGGCCCCAGGTCCTGATGTTAAGGTTCCCAGGGCTGGGGAGGGGCTGACTTGGTGGGCTTGGACTCCGTTTGACCCCGCTTGGGTTTTGGTATCCTCTTAGCAGGGCTTGTTGTTGCAGGAGGGGGACGGTTTTCTTACCCCCCCACCATGTACGAATTTGATATGGCGTCAACCTCTCCCTGGGTTCGGTTCCGGGTTCCCTTGGGTCCTTCTGTGCCTTCCTTCTTGAGGTTTTCGGCCTCCCACATCATGAATCATGTGGTTTGGGAGGCCATTGCGGCTTACCTCCTGCATGACCCGGAGTACGTCTCAATAATGGATCCTGCCTCTTTCGAGTTCGGTTCTCACTTTCCTTGCTGGGTGCGTTACAAGGTTCTGGAGTCATTCTGGTTGGCAGACTGACCTTTTTTTTTTGTTGGGGGCGTGGCACATGTTTTGTCGGTCCTGCTCGCTTGAGTGGTGAGAGGCCCTTACTGTGGTACAGGTTTACCTGCAGGGGTGAGTTTGAATGCCTCAATGCATGTTTGTTCGCCCCTGCCCTTTCGTGGGATGTCAGCCAGGTACAGCTTAATGTGCAGGTTCCCTCCCTTTCAGCTGCCCTGGTTGCTAAGGACTTGTAGACCAAAGCCAAATGCCCACTGGCACACATTTCTTTTCCCTTCTCGAGCTGTCTTCGGACTGGCTTAAGGAGGACGTGGAGGTGCTCGGGGCCGATCCTGGGTCTGGTGTGCTGGTCTCAGCGGTGCGGGCGTCGGCTGCCATGTTGAAGCTGTTTGCACTGATCCTGAGGGAGGCGGTGACTATGTTTTTTTTGCTTCACGTCTCGCATGCTGACAGGCGGTGCTCGCTCAATCTGTGAAATCTGCTTGGGCCCTGGCTCTTAGGTTTCCTACCCCTTTTCTGTTGTTTGCTGTTTGCAGAGTCTGCTGTGGTGCAGTATCTGCAGGTGGCTTCTTCGAGTTGTTGTCCTATGTCTAACTTTTTGGTTCTGGGGAGCTCGCTGGGTCTTCCCAGAAGGGTCGTGCCAGGGCTCGGGGTTCGTCCCGTCATGGTAGGTCAGTGGTGCCAGGTTCAGAGCTGGTGCGGTGATCACTCTGCTCGTTGGTCCTCTTCACATTGGCGTGGAAGAGTACCAGTGTAGGAAATGGACTTCTTCTCCCGAATGGTCGCGGTTTCTCCCGATATATGTGGTGTCCTTTTCCGACTGCGAGGCCATCGGGGTCGATGCCTGCAGGGAAGACTGGTCGAGATGGGGTTACTTGTACCTCTTTCCCCCGGTTCTGCTGTTACTTCAGTTCCCAGCTCACTTGGAGACTTACCAAGGGAGAGTAGTCTTGTTGGACTCTTGGTGACTTGCCCAGCCTTGGTTTCAGGCACTGCTTGCTCGGTGTCCGAACCTGTGGGTCTTCCCGCGACTCCGCCTTTTTCAGCAGATTGGGCCAGTCCGTTACGTAGCTGGTTCGATCTTCTCCTCAAGTCTTCACATCTGGTCTTCTCATGTGGGTCTATCACCAATTGTATGATGAGCAGGTGGCTTTGTTGATGGTGTCCCACCTGCGTGCTTCGTATTGGTGGCAGTGTGAAGTTTCCTGGTGGTCCTCCCATTATTTCTTGTCCCTCCGTAGGTTCTCTTCTGTTTCAGAACAAGTTGTCTTGTCCTACCTTTCCTGATTATTTCAGGACCGTCATCTTATGCTGAATACTGTCACCTCGTAATGTGCGGCGTTGGGGGAGCCGTTTTAGCTTGCGTTTTGGGTAGATGCTACTTCTGCTCCATTCCGCAAGATGTCTCGTGCGTTGTTTCAACTCCGGCCTGCTCATGCACTGCCTGAGCTGTCCTGGTCGTTGGCCCTGGTGCTCTCTTTTCTCTCTTCTCCTCAGTTTGTTGTGACCCCCTTCGATTCAGGATTGTTTTACGAAGACTTTCGTGCTGGCATTGGCCTCTGGGGGTAGGGTTGAGGAGCTTCATGCTCTTCTCCGGCGCAGAGGCTTTTGCTCTTTTGGTCCTGGTGGTAGGTTTGTTCGTTTGCAGCCGTCTCCTTCTTTTCTGGTGAAGAATGAGACTGCTGCTTTCTGGAGGAATTCTTGGGTTGTTGATGCTTGGTTGGTTCGGCCGGGGGTGCATCATGTGTTGTCCGGTTGCCGTTCTTCGCCGTTACCTGCGCACCACAGCCTCGGCGGCCGGGGATGCTCTTTAAGTCGACCCGGTTTCCCTTCTTCCCTGTTCTAGGGTTCGGGTCTCCCAGGTTGTCTGCAGGGTTATTCGGTCCAGTCAGTCTGCAGTCTATCCTCGTGCCCATGATGTTCGTAAGTTTGCTGCGTTGGCTGTCGTCGTTGGTAACATGTTTTGGGCTGACATTCAAACACAGGGTTTTTGGAGGTCGAACAGGGTCCTGGCCGTTCACTACCTCATTAATGTTCCTGGCCCTAGTCGGGCATGTGTCGCATTGGGTCAGTGGTTGCAGCTAATTGTCTTAACTTTGAGTTGAGGAGCGAGTGGCGACCGCCTCCCGGGTATGTCCCTCTTGTGTTATCTTTGGGTAAGTAGCTCTGGGGAGCCTATGGGGCTCCTTCCAGAAAACCAGCTTTGAATGTAATGAAATGCCATTTTCTTGGTGAGACCTGGAGGCTTCCCAGCAACCCTCCCTCCCTCCCTCCCTCCCTCCTGTCGGCATTTTTTTCGCGTGTTTTAATATCCAGCCTCAGAACTAAAGAGTGGATAGCCAGTGCAGGTGTCTGGGGCTCCCCATTTCCCCTTCTGGGGAGGGGGGAGCTGCGCAGATTGCAGTGTGGTGACGGTTGTGATGTCATGCTCGTTTGCTCAATTTTTTGTTTGGGGAGTTCTGTCCCATAGTTTGGCTTTTGGTAGCAATTTTTTAACCAGATAGTGTTTGTTTTGGGGGTGCCTATCTTTCTGGGTGCCTGACCCTATCGATGGCAGACAGAATGTTTCCAACCACACGGGGGGTTTTATAGGCCATTGCTCCTTATGCCTCTCTGGAGGGGGGGGGGGGCCAGGTTCTGGCTCGTGGTCCCCAGTAGGTTTAGAACTCCATTCGCCTTGACAGATACCAGGGTCTAATACATTCATATCAACCTGGATAGCTCTGGGGGAGCCTCCGGGTCTCACCCAGAAAATGGCATTTCATTACATTCAAAGCTGGTTTTTTGTCCTGCACACTATGATGTATGACTTGTATAACCCTGTGCCATTTAATGTTTATAAAGATCAGAAGGCATGACCAAATTGGGTCATGCCTTAATCCCTTATTAGTGATTAGATGGAATTAAAACATTCTTAATCTTTCTTTTTTTCAGGTTTGGCCATTGGTTTGAGCTGCCATTGCTTTTCCAGAGTATAATCATGAATATTACCATGATGATGATCATATCACTATGTGTATCTATCCGTAATAGAGGTCAGCTCGTGCATGGAAAAGAACATGTGTTCACTGGTAAACTATACTACCACTGTATTGTTATAGTATGCTGTCTTAGCATACTTTTTATGACTTTATCAAAGCATCTTCTATATAACATAAACTGACAAATAGCATATATTTTTAACAATACTCTACTGTTCTAATTTTTTTACAATGTTTTCAGATTTTGACTATGATTATTTTTGGGAATGGAGTGATGTGCAGTCATATGTGGAGTTTATGCTGACATTCTCCACGATGGGTTGTCTTCTTATGTATGTGTTCATCGACTCTGCCGTCTTTGTGGAAACAGCTGGCTTCATCTCTGTATTGACAGAAGCGTTACTTGCTGTTCCACAGTTTTACAAAAACTTTGTAACCAAATCAACTTTTGGAATGAGGTAATTAACTTTCATTTTAATCTTTAATATAGAGTTTTATTAAAGATACACTACTCTTAATATAAATTTTGAGTATAGGAAAATAATATATTATACCTAGTGTGTGTATGTGTACTTACCTATTTGTGCCTGCAGGATCTAGCATTGGCTCTTGGACCCAGCCTTTCTAGCTGTCGGTTGTTTAAAGCATGACTACTGTCCTATTTCCCTATAATATCTAGTTTTAAAATTATGAATAGAGTTTGCTTCCACAACCTGCTCCTTAAGTTCATTCCAATTTCCTACTACTCTCACACTAAAGGAAAATTTCCTAACATCTCTGACTCACCTGAGTTTCCAGCTTTCACCCATCTCCCCTTGGTCTGTTAGTATTCAGTGTGAACATTTTATCTATTTCTACTCTGTCAATCCCCCTAAGTATTTTATATGTTTCTATCATGTCTTCCCGCTCCCTCCTTTTTTCTAGTGTCGTTAAGTTCAGTTCCTTCAGTCGCTCTTCATATCCCATCCCTCACAACTCTGGGATGAGCCTCGTCTCAAACTTCTGAACCCTTTCCAGTTTCCTTATGTGTTTCTTCAGGTTGTGGACTCAATGACTGAGCTCCATACTCGAAGATTTGTCTCACATAAGCAGTGTAAAGCACCCTAAATGCCTCTTTTCTTAAGTTTGATATTCTAACTTTTGCCAGCATAGAGTATGCTGCTGTCTTTAATCTATTTATATACCTCAAGAGTAGATTAGGTGTTACATCCACTACCTGGTCTCTTTCTCGAATCGTCTCGAGTAGGTAATTTCCCTTCATTGTGTACTGGTCCTTTGGTCTCCTGTCACCTAATCCAGTTTCAATAATTGTGATCAAAATAGACTTTATAATGGTCCAGGACAGACCGATACATCATCTCTTCATCTTCTGGTGTGTGGTTTGGTCATCATATCTTCAGCCACATTATTGTGACTTTTCATCTGCTTCCAGTAGCCATTTCCCTGACCATTTCTGCAACCTGTTCAAGTCCTCTTGGAGGATCCTACAATCCTCATCTGTCACAGCTCTTCTCATTAATTTTGTGTTTGTGTGTGTGTGTGTGTGTAATTACCTGAGTAATTACCTAAGTGTAGTTACAGGATGAGAGCTATGCTCGTGATGTCCCGTCTTTGCAGCACTCTTTGTCATATAACGCTTTGAAACTACTGACGGTTTTGGCCTCCACCACCTTCTCACTCAACTTGTTCCAACCGTCTGTCACTCTGCAAAAGTAAATTTTCTTATATTTCTTCGGGATCTTTGTTTAGTTAGTTTAAATCTATGACATCTGGTTCTTGAAGTTCCAGGTCTCAGGAATTTTTCCCTATCAATTTTATCGATTCCTGTTACTATTTTATACAGTGATCATATCACCTCTTTTCCTTCTATCTTCCAGTTTTGGCATATTTAATGCTCCTAACCTCTCTCTCCTCATGGCTTTTGTCCTTCAGTTCTTGGAGCCCCTTCGTGGCATGTCTTTGCACCTTTTCCAGTTTGTTGATGTGCTTCTTAAGATACAGGCACCATACAACTGCTGCATATTCCAGCTTTGGTCTAACAAAAGTCATGAACAATTTCTTTAGTATTTTGCCAACCATGTATTTAAAAGCAATTCTGAAGTTAGAAAGTGTAGCACAGGCACCTCGCACAATGTTTTTTATGTGGTCCTCAGGTGATAGTTTTCTATCTAGAACCACCCTGAGATCTCTTTCTTGATCAGAATTCTTTAAAGATTTCTCACATAATTTATAGGCTGTGTGAGGTCTATGTTCTCCTCTTCCACATTCCATAACATGGCGTTTATTCACATTAAATTCCATTTGCCAATTGGTACTCCATATACTTATTTTGTCCAGGTCTTCTTGAAAGGCATGACAATCATCTAAGTTTTTTATCTTTCCTATAATCTTAGCATCATTAGCAAACATATTCATATTATTCTGTACTGCAGGCGATGAGTCACAATAACGTGGCTAAAGTGTGTTGACCAGACCACACACTAAAAGGTGAAGGGACGACGACGTATCGGTCCGTCCTAGACCATTCTCAAGTCGAATAAAGAGCACTCCATCTGGTAGATCGTTTATGTAGAAAATGAATATTACTGGTGCAAGAACTGAACCCTGTGGTACTCCACTTGTAACATTTCTCAAGTCCAATACATTGCCTCTGATTACTGCCCTCATTTTTTTATCAGTCAGAAAATTTTTCATCCATGTTAGAAGTTTACCTGTCACCCCTCCAATATTTTCCAGTTTCCAGAACAACCTCTTTTGTGGAACTCTGTCAAAAGCCTTTTTTTAGGTTCAGATAAATGCAGTCAACCCAACCTTCTCATTCCTGTAAAATTTCTGTGGCTCGATCATAGAAACTGAGTAAATTCGATACATAGGATCTTCCAGATCGAAAACAAGTCTGTATGATATTATATCATTTCTCTCCAGGTGTTCTACCCATTTAGTTTTTATTATTTTTTCCAATATTTTGACTATTACACTTGTCAATGATACAGGTCTATAATTGAGGGGGTCTTCCCTGCTGCCACTTTTGTAGATTGGAACTATGTTAGTCTTTTTCCACGCATCTGCTACGACTCCTGTACACAGGGATGTCTGAAAAATCGGCTGAAGTGGAATGCTGAGCTCAGGTGCGCATTCTCTCAGAACTCATGGTAAAACTCCATCCAGGCCAACTGCTTTGTTCTTACTTAGCTCCAGGAGTATTTGTTTCACTTCATCTCTAGACACCTCAATGTGCTCTATGCTGTTCTCTGGAATTCTTATTGTGTCTGGTTCTCTGAAAATCTCATTTTGTACAAACACACTTTGGAACTTTACGTTTAATGTTTCACACATATCCTTTTCATTTTCCATGTATCTGTCCCCCATTTTCAACCTCTGAATATTATCCTTTACCTGCAGCTTGCTTTTAATGAATTTATAGAAAAGGCCTGGATCTAGTTTACATTTGTCTGCTATACCGTTCTCAAAGTTCCTCTCTGCCTCTCTCCTTACTGACGTGTAGTTGTTTCTTGCATCTTTGTATTGCTGGTATGTTTGGGGGTTTGGCCTCTTTCTATAATGATTCCATGCTTGTGTCTTTTGATCTCTGGCCCTCTCGCAATTTCTGTTGAACCAACCCTGTTTCCTAGGTCTGCATGTCTTTTTTGGTATGAATGTCTGTATGCCTTCATCGTATATTTTGCAAAATTTGGCATACATCTCATTTACTTCCTTGCCTAGCAACAAGTCTGTCCAATTATACCCCAAGAAAAAATTTCTAAGTTCCCCATAGTGTCCTCTCTTGAAATCGAGTTTAACAACTGTTTCACTGTCCCCATTCTCTACTGATTATATCACATAGCGTATTTAATGTCCAAGAGGACGTGATCACTCTTTCCCAAGGGAGGAAAGTACTGGATGTCAAATATCTCTTCTTCTTTCCTGGTGAATACTAGATCCAGTACTAACACATACTGGTGTGTTTGTGTTTGTGTGCATACAGTACTGTGTTCCCATTTTTAACTTTTCCACTCAGTCGTTCCCTAAAACAAAATCCTTCTAGGGTCTGCATGGGATCGGTAACAGGCAAACGAACATTCCACACCAACCCGATGGGGAAATCTTTCATACTGTCCTCATTGGATACTACTGGTGCTAGGAAGACACTCGAGAATACTCAGTCCAACCCAGAATATAGACAGAAAAGTGTTTGCCATAAAAAATGAAATCTACCTCAGATAGTTTGGCAACACTGAGATTGCCAAGATTTGTCTTGCCAAACAATCATTAGGTTATTACCATTGAATGCCACCAAATGGCAGTGTACATGCTAGATATTCCTGTCTAAATCATTTACAGTATACACGTTATATGGTAAATAATACAGGCCCCAGGGCTCTCCACTCATAGCTTTTTCTTGCTCAGATATTAGTACAATAACTTTACAAGTTCATTCTGAGTGACACTATTGTCATCACAAACAGTGATTGTAATTAACATTTGTGTATACATATGCCATTTTCTGTGGAGAGCCCCTCCGGCTCCCTGGAGCTATACCGGGCTGTTGTGTATATATTAGACCGTGGCAACAGTCAATCGATGGAGTTCAAGGCCTACCGGAGACCACAAGCTAGAACCTGGGCCCCCTCAGAGAGGCACGAGGTGCAATGGCCTATAGACACTCCCTTGTAGTTGGAAGCAGTCTTTGTCTACTATCTACCAGGTCAAGCACCCAGAAAGGTAGGAATCCCAAAACAAACTACAGCTGAATAAACTTTGCAAACCGAAAGTCGAACAAGCAAGCAGAACTCCCCAATCAGAAAACAAGCAAACAAGCATGACATCACCACAGCTGCCATGCTGCTGTCTGCGCAACTCCCCCTCCCTGGGAGTGGGAAGGGGGGTCCCAAACCTCCTGCGCTTGCTACCCAACCCCAGTTCTGAGGCTGTTGTGTTGGGTGGCGGTTGATCGACTCTGGGTCCAATCTTCATGTAATGCTGTGCCTTCTGGTGTTGTGCTGCGGTGTGCACCTGTCTTATAAAATACGTAGCGGCCAGTTCTGTTCCTCCTGGAGACATGCTTTTGCAGGGTATTTTTCTTTTGTTTTGCCTGGTGGGGTCTGCCTGGTGTAGCTGTAGGACCACTTGTATGATTTTGGTGAACCTCTGCTAGGTCCCGTGATTGCACACGTCACAGGGGTTCAGCATTTTGTTTGTTTGTTTGGTAGTTCTGAGATAACCGGTTAGCAGTACCTTGCCTGGGCTTTCCTTAGCAATCAGCCTAAGGGGCCCTGGAAACCCCCATGGAGGCTCATTGGTCCAATGGATGCATCCTCCGAGTCCCATCTCGCTTCGTACGAGTTTGAAAGTTTCTCTGTTCCCTAGTCTCAGGGTGACACTCGCTGTTTGCCTCCACCATACTGCCTGTTGGATCAAAAACACCTTTAATCCAGTAATTACCTAAGTGTAATTACCTAAGTGTAGTTACAGGATGAGAGCTACGCTCGTGGTGTCCCGTCTTCCCAGCACTCTTTGTCATATAACGCTTTGAAACTACTGACGGTCTTGGCCTCCACCACCTTCTCACTTAACTTGTTCCAACCGTCTACCACTCTATTTGCGAAGGTGAATTTTCTTATATTTCTTCGGCATCTGTGTTTAGCTAGTTTAAATCTATGACCTCTTGTTCTTGAAATTCCAGGTCTCAGGAAGTCTTCCCTGTCGATTTTATCAATTCCTGTAACTATTTTGTATGTAGTGATCATATCACCTCTTTTTCTTCTGTCTTCTAGTTTTGGCATATTTAATGCTTCTAACCTCTCCTCGTAGCTCTTGCCCTTCAGTTCTGGGAGCCACTTAGTAGCATGTCTTTGCACCTTTTCCAGTTTGTTGATGTGCTTCTTAAGATATGGGCACCACACAACAGCTGCATATTCTAGCTTTGGCCTAACAAAAGTCATGAACAATTTCTTTAGTATATCGCCATCCATGTATTTAAATGCAATTCTGAAGTTAGAAAGCATAGCATAGGCTCCTTGCACAATATTCTTTATGTGGTCCTCAGGTGATAGTTTTCTATCTAGAACCACTCCTAGATCTCTTTCTTTATCAGAATTCTTTAAAGATTTCTCACATAATATATAGGTTGTGTGGGGTCTATGTTCTCCTATTCCACATTCCATAACATGACATTTATTAACATTAAATTCCATTTGCCAAGTGGTGCTCCATATACTTATTTTGTCCAGGTCTTCTTGAAGGGCATGACAGTCATCTAAATTTCTTATCCTTCCTATTATCTTAGCATCATCAGCAAACATGTTCATATAATTCTGTATACCAACTGGTAGATCATTTATGTACACAATAAACATCACTGGTGCAAGAACTGAACCCTGTGGTACTCCACTTGTGACATTTCTCCATTCTGATACATTGCCTCTGATTACTGCCCTCATTTTTCTATCAGTCAGAAAATTTTTCATCCATGATAGAAGCTTACCTGTCACCCCTCCAATATTTTCCAGTTTCCAGAACAACCTCTTATGTGGAACTCTGTCGAAAGCCTTTTTTAGGTCCAGATAGATGCAGTCAACCCAACCATCTCTTTCCTGTAATATCTCTGTGGCTCGATCATAGAAACTGAGTAAATTCGATACACAGGATCTTCCAGATCGAAAACCATACTGTCTGTCTGATATTATATCATTTCTCTCTAGGTGTTCTACCCATTTAGTTTTGATTAGTTTTTCCAATACTTTCACTATTGCACTTGTCAATGATACAGGTCTATAATTGAGGGGGTCTTCCCTGCTGCCACTTTTGTAGATTGGAACTATGTTAGCCTGTTTCCACCCGTCTGCTACGATTCCTGTACACAGGGATGCCTGAAAGATCAGGTGAAGTGGAATGCTGAGCTCAGATGCACATTCTCTCAGAACCCATGGTGAAACGCCATCTGGGCCAGCTGCTTTGTTCTTACCGAGCTCCTTGAGCATTTTTTCCACTTCGTCTCTAGACACCTCTATGTGTTCTATGTTGTTCTCTGGAATTCTTATTGTATCTGGTTCCCTAAAGATTTCATTTTGTACAAACACACTTTGGAACTTTTCGTTTAGTGTTTCACACATTTCCTTTTCATCTTCCGTGAATCTATTTCCCATTTTCAACCTCTGAATATTATCCTTTACCTGCAATTTGTTGTTTATGAATTTATAGAATAGACCTGGTTCTGTTTTACATTTGTCCGCAATCCCTTTTTCAAAATTTCTTTCTGCCTCTCTCCTCACTGCCGTGTAGTTGTTTCTCGCATCTTTGTATCGCTGGTATGTTTGGGGGTTCGGCCTCTTCCTGTATTGATTCCATTTTTGTGTCTTTCGGTCTCTAGCCCTCTCGCAATTTCTATTGAACCAATCCTGTTTCCTAGTTCTGCTTTCCAGTGTCCTGCGAGTGGTGTTCCTTGCTTGTACAGTACTCCAATTCACCCAGTCCACTTATATTGATATTCGGGTACAGGCAGCTTCAGCGTTGCATGTGCAGTTTAGGTTATAGGGATACGGACTTGGGAGTGTTAGTCGCCTCGACTTTGGTTTCGTCCGCGCCCTATTATCATTTCCCTGCTGTGGGTCATCCTTCTCCTCCCTCCGCCTCCCTCCCTGCTCCTGGCTCCCAAAAGTCTGAGTGTTTTAGAGTCGGGGTAGGGCTTTCTTGGTGGTGAGATTTGGGCAGCCTCTGGGACTGCCCATTCCAGATCGGTGGAGGAGGCATTCGAGCCTGTTCCTTCTGCCAGGGCTTTCAGGTTGTGCCAGTAGGCCCCCTTCTTCCCTGCTTTTCCGGTGGACTCTGCCTTTTCTCCAGAGACAGAGGGTTTGGAGTACGGCTTGGCCCCGGGTCCTACTGTGGATAATCCTGGAGCTGTGGAGGAGTTGACTTGGGGGACTTGGGCCCCGTTTGACCCCGCTTGGCTGTTGGTACCCTCGGTGCATGGCTTGTTGTTACAAAAGGAGGGGTTTTCCTATCCTCCCTTCCTATACGAATTTGATATGGGTTCGACTCCTTCCCGGGTTTTGGTTCCGGGTTCCTTTGGGGATTCCTCAGTTCCCTCCTTCTGGAGGTTTTCAGCTTCCTGCATCTTGCCGAGAGAGGTGCGGGAGGCCCTTGCAGTTTACCTCCTGTGAGACCCGTATTATGCATCGATAATGAATCCTCCTCCTTTTGAGTTTGGCTCCTCTTTTCTTTACTGTGTGCATTATGAGGTGCCGGAGTCTTCTTAGCTGGCAGACTGCCCTTTCCTTTCGTTGAGGACATGGCATATGTTCTGTTGGACCCGCACGCTTAAGTAGTGGGAATTGACTACGGTCGTTCAGGTTTACTTGGGGAGCGAGTTGGAGTAACTCAATGCATGCTTGTTTACCCCTGTACTTCCTTGCGATATTGGCCAGGTACAGCTTTACATGCAGGTTCCCTCTCTTTAGGCGTCCCAGGTGGTCGAGGATTTGCCTCAGCCACCGGGGATCCTCTTCCAAAGCCTAGAACTCCAGTTTGTTTCATTATGGGCTATTCATGCCCGTGCTAACTTTTGGGTGGCTTAATCTTCATCAATCATCAATCATATTTGCCTAGAATTTGCTGAGGCCTAGAACTCCGTCGATTGACTGTTGCCATGGTCTAATAATATATACACATCAGCCCCGTAGAGCTCTGGGGAGCCTCCAGGTCTCGCCCAGAAAATGGCGTTTCATAAATATTCAACACTGGTTTTTTCATTACAGCAGGCAAATGGTGCTGATGTGGCTGATGGGGGACTCGTTTAAAACTGTTTACTTCTGGTTACGGGCAGCTCCTCTTCAATTCTTCATTTGCGGTTGTCTGCAGATCTGTATTGATATAGCAGTGTTGCTTCAGTGCTTTGTTTATAGAAAAAAAAACTCGCACTTAATTAATTAGCTATATCGATCAATATTATCAAATTTTTTTCAGGAGAGCAAAGGAAACAATGCACAATTTGTTGATGTGGAATTTGTGATCATTACAGAACAAACAATAGCTGGATAGGCTAGAGTATTGTTGTAAACAAATGCAAATCTCTGCCATTGTTTAACTTATGTATGATTTGATGCTTTATATCATATGTGCAATGTCTTATCAAAAGAATTTGTTGTGCCTTAACATTTATTAATTATTGAGTTATCAAGTCTTAACTTGTATAACAGTAAAGATCATGGGAAACATGCTTATTTGCAGTATGTATGTATGTATGTATATGTAGGTATGTGAAAAATAAATATATATATATATTTATATATATATATATATATATATATATATATATATATATATATATATATATATATATATATATGTATATGTGTATATATATATATATATATATATATATATATATATATATGTCGTACCTAGTAGCCAGAACTCACTTTTCAGCCTACTATTCAAGGCCCGATTTGACTATTAAGCCAAGTTTTCCTGAATTAATATATTTACTATAATTTTTTTCTTATGAAATGATAAAGCAACCCTTTTCTCTATGTATGAGGTCAACTTTTTTTTATTGGAGTTAAAATTAACGTAGATATATGACCGAACCTAACCAACCCTACCTACCCTAACCTAACCTATATTTATAGGTAAGGTTAGGTTAGGTAGCCAAAAAAAGCTAGGTTAGGTTAGGTTAGGTAGGTTAGGTAGACGAAAAAACATTAATTTATGAAAACTTGGCTTATTAGGCAAATCGGGCCTTGAATAGTAGGCTGAGAAGTGCGTTCTGGCTATTAGGTACGACATATATATATATATATATATATATATATATATATATATATATATGTCGTACCTAGTAGCCAGAACGCACTTCTCAGCCTACTATACATGGCCCGATTTGCCTAATAAGCCAAGTTTTCATGAATTAATTATTTTTCGACTACCTAACCTACCTAACCTAACCTAACCTAACTTTTTCTGCTACCTAACCTAACCTAACCTATAAAGATAGGTTAGGTTAGGTTAGGGAGGGTTGGTTAGGTTTGGTCATATATCTACGTTAATTTTAAGTCCAATAAGAAAAATTGATCTCATATATAATGAAATGGATAGCTTTATCATTTCATAAGAAAAAAATTAGAGAAAATATATTAATTCAGGAAAACTTGGCTTATTAGGCAAATCGGGCCTTGCATAGTAGGCTGAGAAGTGCGTTCTGGCTACTAGGTACGACATATATATATATATATATATATATATATATGTCGTACCTAGTAGCCAGAACTCACTTTTCGGCCTACTATGCAAGGCCCGATTTGCCCAATAAGCCGAGTTTTCATGAATTAATATATTTTCTCAATTTTTTTTCTTATGAAATGATAAAGCTACCCATTTCATTATGTATGAGGTCAATTTTTTTTTATTGGAGTTAAAATTAACATAGATATATGACCGAACCTAACCAACCCTACCTAACCTAACCTAACCTAACCTATCTTTATAGGTTAGGTTAGGTTAGGTAGCGGAAAGAGTTAAGTTATGTTAGGTTAGGTAGGTTAGGTAGTCGAAAAACAATTAATTCATGAAAACTTGGCTTATTAGGCAAATCGGGCCATGCATAGTATGCTGAGAAGTGCGTTCTGGCTACTAGGTACGACATATATATATATATATGTATATGTTAGTATATTTTGGTAGCAGTCTTTCCTGTAGACATATATTATTAAATATGACCGAAAAAGTAAGATTAATAATTCTAACACGAATTTTCTCAATCTTTCGTACATTACGCTTCACTGTTGGAGGTAAATCAAAAATCACTTCTCCAAAATTCATTTTTATTTCTAGTCTGACGCGACACGGGCGCGTTTCGTAAAACTTATTACATTTTCAAAGACTTCACAAATACACAACTGATTAGAACGTATCTCTGATTTTATATCTACATTTGAGTGAGGTGGTAAGGGTGATGTGGCATTAACACAAGACAGAACAGGAGGGGATATTAATAGGGTATTAAAAGTATCAACACAAGACAGAACAGAAACAATGGGTATTGAATCGAAGTGTTTGTAGAAAGCCTATTGGTCCATATTTCTTGATGCTTCTATATTGGAGCGGAGTCTTGAGGTGGGTAGAATATAGTTGTGCAATAATTGGCTGTTGATTGCTGGTGTTGACTTCTTGATGTGTAGTGCCTCGCAAACGTCAAGCCGCCTGCTATCGCTGTATCTATCGATGATTTCTGTGTTGTTTACTAGGATTTCTCTGGCGATGGTTTGGTTATGGGAAGAGATTATATGTTCCTTAATGGAGCCCTGTTGCTTATGCATCGTTAAACGCCTAGAAAGAGATGTTGTTGTCTTGCCTATATACTGGGTTTTTTGGAGCTTACAGTCCCCAAGTGGGCATTTGAAGGCATAGACGACATTAGTCTCTTTTAAAGCGTTCTGTTTTGTGTCTGGAGAGTTTCTCATGAGTAGGCTGGCCGTTTTTCTGGTTTTATAGTAAATCGTCAGTTGTATCCTCTGATTTTTGTCTGTAGGGATAATGTTATCCCTACAGGCAAAAATCAGAGGATACAACTGACGATTTACTATAAAACCAGAAAAACGGCCAGCCTACTCATGAGAAACTCTCCAGACACAAAACAGAACGCTTTAAAAGAGACTAATGTCGTCTATGCCTTCAAATGCCCACTTGGGGACTGTAAGCTCCAAAAAACCCAGTATATAGGCAAGACAACAACATCTCTTTCTAGGCGTTTAACGATGCATAAGCAACAGGGCTCCATTAAGGAACATATAATCTCTTCCCATAACCAAACCATCGCCAGAGAAATCCTAGTAAACAACACAGAAATCATCGATAGATACAGCGATAGCAGGCGGCTTGACGTTTGCGAGGCACTACACATCAAGAAGTCAACACCAGCAATCAACAGCCAATTATTGCACAACTATATTCTACCCACCTCAAGACTCCGCTCCAATATAGAAGCATCAAGAAATATGGACCAATAGGCTTTCTACAAACACTTCGATTCAATACCCATTGTTTCTGTTCTGTCTTGTGTTGATACTTTTAATACCCTATTAATATCCCCTCCTGTTCTGTCTTGTGTTAATGCCACATCACCCTTACCACCTCACTCAAATGTAGATATAAAATCAGAGATACGTTCTAATCAGTTGTGTATTTGTGAAGTCTTTGAAAATGTAATAAGTTTTACGAAACGCGCCCGTGTCGCGTCAGACTAGAAATAAAAATGAATTTTGGAGAAGTGATTTTTGATTTACCTCCAACAGTGAAGCGTAATGTACGAAAGATTGAGAAAATTCGTGTTAGAATTATTAATCTTACTTTTTCGGTCATATTTAATAATATATGTATATGTATATACATATATATATATATATATATATATATATATATATATATATATATATATATATATATATATATATATATATATATATATATATATATATATATGTCGTACCTAGTAGCCAGAACTCACTTTTTGGCCTACTATTCAAGGCCCGATTTGCCTAATAAGCCAAGTTTTCCTGAATTATTATATTTTTTCTAATTTTTTTCTTATGAAATGATAAAGCTACCCATTTCATTATGTATGAGGTCAAATTTTTTTTATTGGAGTTAAAATTAACGTAGATATATGACCGAACCTAACCAACCCTACCTAACCTAACCTAACCTATCTTTATAGGTTAGGTTTGGTTAGGTAGCCGAAAAAGTTAGGTTAGGTTAGGTTAGGTAGGTTAGGTAGTCGAAAAGCCATTAATTCATGAAAACTTGGCTTATTAGGCAAATCGGGCCTTGCATAGTAGGCTGAGAAGTGCGTTCTGGCTACTAGGTACGACATATACATATATATATATATATATATATATACATATATATATATATATATATATATATATATATATATATATATATACATATATATATATATATATATATGTCGTACCTAGTAGCCAGAACGCACTTCTCAGCCTACTATGCATGGCCCGATTTGCCTAATAAGCCAAGTTTTCATGAATTAATTGTTTTTCGACTACCTAACCAAACCTAACCTAACTTTTTCGGCTACCTAACCTAACCTAACCTATAAAGATAGGTTAGGTTAGGTTAGGTAGGGTTAGATAGGTTCGGTCATATATCTACGTTAATTTTACCTCCAATAAAAAAAATTGACCTCATACATAATGAAATGGGTAGCTTTATCATTTCATAAGAAAAAAATTAGAGAAAATATATTAATTTAGGAAAACTTGGCTTATTAGGCAAATCGGCCCTTGCATAGTAGGCTGAGGATTGCGTTCTGGCTACTAGGTACGACATATATATATATATATATATATATATATATATATATATATATATATGTCGTACCTAGTAGCCAGAACGCACTTGTCAGCCTACTATGCAAGGCCAGATTTGCCTAATAAGCCAAGTTTTCCTGAATTAATATATTTTCTCTATTTTTTTTCTTATGAAATGATAAAGCTACCCATTTCATTATGTATGAGGTCAATTTTTTTGTATTGGAGTTAAAATTAACGTAGATATATGACCGAACCTAACCAACCCTACCTAACCCAACCTAACCTATCTTTATAGGTTAGGTTAGGTTAGGTAGCCGAAAAAGTTAGGTTAGGTTAGGTTAGGCAGGTTAGGTAGTCGAAAAACAATTAATTCAGGAAAACTTGGCTTATTAGGCAAATCGGGCCTTGCATAGTAGGCTGAGAAGTGCGTTCTGGCTACTAGGTACGACATATATATATATATATATGTCGTACCTAGTAGCCAGAACTCACTTTTTGGCCTACTATTCAGGGCCCGATTTGCCTAATAAGCCAAGTTTTCCTGAATTAATATATTTATTCTAATTTTTTTCTTATGAAATGATAAAGCTACCCATTTCATTATGTATGAGGTCAATTTTTTTTATTGGAGTTAAAATTAACGTAGATATATGACCAAACCTAACCAACCCTACCTAACCTAACCTAACCTATCTTTATAGGTTAGGTTTGGTTAGGTAGCCGAAAAAGTTAGGTTAGGTTAGGTTAGGTAGGTTAGGTAGTTGAAAAACAATTAATTCATGAAAACTTGGCTTATTAGGCAAATCGGGCCTTGAATAGTAGGCCAAAAAGTGAGTTCTGGCTACTAGGTACGACATATATATATATATATATATATATATATATATATATATATATGCGAACAAGCCTGAATGGTCCCCAGGACATATGCAACTGAAAACTCACACCCCAGAAGTGACTCGAACC